ACTTAATAAAATGTCAAAAATGTGTAGAGTCATACTAAAAATAATGGAAAATAGTAATAGTGGAAAATATTAATATTTATTTTATCTGTTTGTTTCTTTTTTATCATGATGGCAGGTCTCACTCTCTCAGACACCTGTTTTGTTTTCAAAAACGAGTCAAACTTTTTTTTTTGAAATTGTTTTAGAAAATTTGTTTTTTTTAATTTTTAGAAAATTTGTTTTTGGTCAGATATTGAAATATTTTGATAAAAATCATTTACTTTTTTTCAAAATTGTATTTTTTGAATGTTTCTCATAAAATTTTAGCGCATTGAAAACATTTTTAGAACAAAAAAAAATTTGGAAGATTTTTTAAAAAAAAGAAATTGGAAGATTTTTCAAAAAAAAACTTTTTAGAAAAAAAATGTGGTCAGGTTGAAAGATTTTGATAAAAATCATTGAATTTTTTTTGAAAATGTTATCTTTTCTGCATGTTTCTCATCAGAATATAGAGCTTAGATATAAAATATTTCATATTTTGAACATTTTTTTGAAAATGTTTTTAGAATTTTGTTTTCTGAACATTTTTCAATTTAAAAAAACAAAACGTGGGTGCAGTGAGGACGTGGTCGTACTCAGGAGTTAAAGAGTGGAATCTCATGAGCTCAGTGGAAAAAATGTCTCTCATTAGAGAGAGAAACAGAAACATCATTAGTGAACATACAAACAGTCATTTCCTGCGGCCGCTCAGCAGATCGGATCAACACATGGCTTTTGTTTGAAAGCCACAGATATGAAATATGGACGTGAGTCAGAGCAGAGGAGAACAAACCAACACCCTTCTGTAGCCTGGACACACGAGGTCTGAACAGCACCTCATCCTGGGCCCTGTGACCTTTGACCTCCTTTAACTTTCTGCCAGATGTAGGTCAAAACCTCAAAGGAGCTGAGTGTCTGAACCTGTTCACCTGACTGTTCAGTTTTAGGTGACTAATGTGATTAATGTAGGAGTATATATTTGAGTGTGGTTTTTAATCCCATCCCAGGAAGTTGTCACAGCTTCCACCTCACTATACCTGGCAAATTGTTTGAGAATCAGCTGGTTGGATTTGAACCTGAAACCTTCCGGACCCAAACCACGCGTGTCGTTCTCTACATTTGAAGAAAGAAATGTACATTTTAAAAACAGCGAGAAGGAGCGGGTAAATGTAGACGCCCCACTAAAACCTTTGGCCAAGGCTCACGGTCCTTTCCTGGGTCTCGATCACACAGAGGGTCACAGGTCACGGCCCAGTTTGACGTCCAGCCTCTCACTCTCACCTACGTACAGCACATCTATTTACAGAGCTTCTAATATCACACATCTGTTTGACTCCATTCACACACTGACGACACAGGAGACACTGCAGCAGATACACTGCACACACACACACACACACACACACACACACACTGGCAATCGAACCCACAACCACCCGATCCTGGATACTGTTGAATCACAGTAACGTTTTTTTCAGAGAAATGTGACTAAGCTGACGGTTTTAATGTCCGACCCAAGGGTCAGACCATGAACCTGAGGATGAGCAGAACCATCAGAACAACCATGAGAACAACCTTCAGAACAACCATGAGAACAACCATCAGAACAACCATGAGAACAACCATCAGAACAACCATGAGAACGTCAGTCGTCCATGTTGTGACAGTCGTACAGTGTGTCTCCCTGCTGCACAGTCTGAGTCTGGCCTGGAACCTG